GGGCCCCACTATGTCTGACTAATTTTTAAAACATATTTTGTAGAGACAGGGTCTCCCTGTGCTATAAAGGCTGGCTTCAAACTCTTGGGCTCCGGTGATCTTCCCTCCTCAGGCTCCTAAAGTGCTGAGATTATAGGTGTGAGCCACTGAGACCATCCTTGAATTTTTTTTTTTTTGGAGATGGAGTCTTGTCCTGTCGCCCAGGCTGGAGTGCAATGGCATGATCTCGGCTTACTGCAACCTCTGCCTCCCAGGTTCAAGCGATTCTCCTGCCTCAGCCTCCCAAATAGCTGGGATTACAAGCGTGTGCCACCAACACCGGCTAATTTTTTGTATCTTTAGTACAGATGGGGTTTCGCCATGTTGTCCAGGCTGGTCTCAATCTCCTAACCTCGTGATCCACTTGCCTCAGCTTCCCAAAGTACTGGGATTACAGTCATGAGTCACTGTACCTGATTGATTTTTTTTTAAGCGGAAACTTAATCTTTCTCCTGAAGAGTCTCAAGAGACTAAGGATGAAAAAAGATTTTCAATGCAAACTTCTTACCTGTTATTAACAAGTAAAGCCCATCCTTCTGACACATGGATGGTGTCAATTTGGCATTTGATCAGCTTTCTTGTCCTGACTCTCCCGACATTGGGAATGGAATTCAGGTGTGGACACTTGCCGTGTTGAAGGAAAGATGTGGAATGGCCAAATCACCATATGACTCAGTCTCTACTAAAGAAACCCGCTAACAGTCTCAATCATGTTACAAAGACATTCATCCACATACGTGGCAGGACCCTTGGAGCTATTCCACCCAGAAGACCAGAGCAGAGGAACTCAAGCTGAAGATTTAAGCAGACATTGCTCATTGAAGAATCATCAGCAATAAAAAGGAAGAGCCTCTGAAAAGCCAACAGGAGTCATTTGAAAAGTATGATGCTATTTTAAAAAATCTATCTGTAACATCATTTCTTGAACATATTGCAAGAAAAAAGCTATGCTTTCAGTGTGAATATAGATGGGAGGTGGTACGGGGGAAAAGAAATAGCATTTCTTGACCATCTTTTGTAAGCAAGGGTTGTATGCTGTGTCTCTTCCACATTTTATCTCATTTATTCTTCCACATAACCCAGCGAGATGTATTATTTCCACATTTTACAGATCAGGAAACTCAGGGGAAACCTAATTCTGGACTATTTTGTTTCATCTTCTGCATATAACTCTGGAAAAAACAGCTTATTCCCAGCTAGTACAAAGTCTCTCTAATTCAAATTCCTTGGCAATTTGAAATAGCAGCAAAGCTGCCCATTGAATGATTTTCTACTTCAAAAAACACACTGCTTTTGTGAGAGTTTCCGTGGTATTTATCCCTAAGCATGCAAAAAGAGTAAGTGGCATACAAGTATAGGTCAGGTGCATTCAGCCATGTGGTCAGACCTGCTAAGCATGGGTCCTGTGGCTCCTGCATTAGCACCAGTTAGCCGGGCTGGGCTGAGTTCTCTGTGGACTGAAAGGTAAGAAAGCCCACCTGCATGCAGCAACATCCTGGGATGAAGACTTTTCACTCACCGGGGTTGTTCCTAATGTGGTCCAGATTAATGAGGTTTGGCTATGCCTTGTCTATCTGTTATAAAACAAGGTTGCTAATATAAGACCACAAAGTACGATGCAGGGAGGTAGAAGTCGTTTTGTCTAAGGTTGGGTGCGGTGCGTTCATGCCTGTAATCCCAGCCCTTGGAAGGCTGAGGTGGGTGGATCACTTGAGGTCAGGCGTTCGAGACCAGCTTGGCCAACATGGTGAAACACTGTCTCTACTAAAAATACAAAAAATAATAATAATAATAAAATAAAAAATAGCCACTGTTGTGGTGTGTGCCTGTAATCCCAGCTACTTGGGAGGCTGAGGCAGGATAATTGTTTAAGCCCAGGAGGTGGAGGTTGCCGTGAGCTGAGATTGTGCCACCGCACTCTAGCCTGGGTGGCAAAGTGATACAAATAAATAAAAAATAAAAAAATAAAGAAATTGTTTTGTCTAGGGATGCCCAAAAGTGGCAGGAATGCTATAGTTCTTGCCTCCTCAGCAGACATCAGTAATCCACTGCAGAATACTCTTTCCTGGATATGCCTCAGCACCCATCTCAGCACGATGCCCCTGGCAGCCATGACCAATCCATTCCTCATGCCATCCCCCTTCCCACCCAAGTTGGAAGTGTGGCTGTGGCCACCTGACAGATGTCGGGGCGGGGGTGATGGGAAAAGGAAACTAGAATAGTTTCAGATCCCCTAGGCACAGGGGCTGTCCTTGTGTCACATACAATTTGGCTTACATTACAATCCTGCCATCCAGCTAGGGTCTGGGTGAGACGGGCTAAGGGAGCCCAAAGGCAGGTCCCTGAACAAGCTCATTCCATAGCTCCAAGTCTACCACCAATGTAAGAAATGTAACATTGACAAGTGTTTCAGGCGAATGCAATTTTTATCCGAAACATGCTCCAAACCCTGGGGTGGTGGGGAGTGCCTTTTGCAGAGTGAATCATCACTGTGGGAATCCGGCGATACGCTATTTGTCTTCCAGCCATGGAGACAGCCAGACCTCACTGGGGAAGGCATAGGCAACTGTGGAGCTTGAGACCACACTACCCAAGCTGGGGTCTTAAATGATTCTCCATCTGTATCAACAGAATCTTTCTTTTGTGCTGGTGTTTTCCAGTCTTCACCACTACTTCCTGGAGGGAAGGAGGATGGTAAGCATGTCCCCATTCATGGGGAAAAAGGGGTGTTCTGTGAGGTCGTCCACTCTCCAGGAAGCCCACAGCTAGGAATAAATAGCAGAGCCACCTCTGCTGTCAACCAGGAGGGACCAGAGAGAGTCAGCAGGAAAATCAGTGCCGCCCTGACAGCCTTCCACAGCATCTCCAGCTTAGAGAATGCACTCACCGGGAGGGATTGCTTCCTCGTCCCTGCCCTGCAGCTATGCCAGGTTTCTGACTCAGAGCCCAGTGCTCTGTCCTCCAACCTACACTGCTTTTTCCTGTCCTGTCATTGAGCCTTAAGCCGGGTTCATGTCCCACATCTAGAATAAGGACTAATGTTTATTGAGCACTTACTATGTCCCGGCATGAGGGACTGGCAGCTTCATGTGAATTAACTCATTGAATCCTCCCAACCACTCTATGAGATAGGAATTACCATTATCCCCATCTTGGAAGGAGACTGAAGCATGAGGCCCCACAGCTAGTGGAGGAGCTGGGATGGGAAACTGGCATTCTGACTCCAGGGTCCCTCTGAACCACATACATTGCCTCCCTGGGCTACCTCCTCATCACTATATTTGACAATAATTTACTGAGCACCTACTACGTGCCAGGTTCTGTGAACGCAAGCACACAATGCCTGTCCTCAAAGTTCAACTCGTGCTTAAAGACTTGCCAAAAACATGCCAAGTCACAGTTCAGCCCTCCCCTCTCCCTCCTTTCCCTGCCCCCGCCGACAGCAAACAGGGCTCAGCTGAATATACAGCCTGTGTGCAACCACTGTCAAACTCGATTCTCATCCAGGCTGTCAGTTTCTTAAAGAAAAACACCATCTCTGGCCTCCCACAGAGCCCTGCCCTCAGGGGCCCTTGGTAAATATTTACTGTTGCAGCTGACCCAGACCCCAGGGGAAGAAGACCCAGTTACAAAGCACAAAGGAACCCGTGTGCTCATTATTCAGACCCTCCCAAGCGCAATGGGTGTCCCTCCTGTGTAACTTCCCCATTTGCGTCTGGAGTGCAATTTTTCTCACGCTCAGTGGGCCAGGTTTGGGCCACTGGAGTATGTGGTACTGCCCCTGCCTAAAGGCCCACGATTCCTGGTGAAGCCAAGCCATCTGCCTGAACCACACCTGCTTTTGCCTTCTCTGGGGCCCTGGGGAGTGGGAGGTGGGTGAGCCTTGGCACCTGTTCTCCCATGCCTTTTCCTCTTGTCTATGTGGTCTGGATCTTGGGCCGAGTCCCTTGATGGGATGACTAGCCCGAAACTCTTTTGGTGGTCCTGGCATGGGAGAGGCTCCCCAGAGTCTCTGAGCAGAACTCCCATCATGCTTTGGGAGTTGTCCCCCGACCACATACAGCAGGTGTTTGGGCTCATGCCTATGATGTGTGCATTGTCTGGTATTATTTCAGGTACAGCCAGTCAATGGGCAACAGTCGTAGGAGAGACCTGAGCGTCATCTCATCTGGTGGCTGCCAAAGTTTCATAGCAGAGCCTGCGCCTAAAAGAGGCCGTGCTGAGCATTTGCAGGCACGAGTTCAAAAGCTTCCCTCTTTCAGACTTTCCCTACACCCTCTCCGTCCTCCCACTGCCTGTTGCTCACAGCATTCTAGATCACCAGGAAACAGGGTCTATAAAACATTGCACTCTCCCCTTTGAAATGTCCCACAGATATTTCTCCAGTCTCTGCTTGAATTCTGCCAGTGACAGGGAACTCACTCTGCTCCCCAAGTTGCCTGCTACACTCTTGCATAGCTCTTCTGTTAGGAATGTTTCCTTAGGTGGAGTCAACAGCTTTCCACCTCTGTCCTGCCCGTGACAGTCCTTCAAATGTGCAAAGGTGGCTCTCCTGTCTGTCTCCTCAGGGCCATGGTTTCCCAACTGGTGTGAGCCAGGTAGCTCCCTCTCTGTTTGAAGAATATCTCCCTAGCCTTGGCTAGAGGTTTGCTGGAAACACTTCTGAGCACATGCCCTCTGGACGGGGAGTTTGAGCTGCCATCATCAGAGCAGAGGGAGGGCAGCCCCGCTACCCGCAGGCTCCAGTGCTCCCGGGGAGGGATTGGCAGGAACCCAGTGGATTCCAAGGGACTCACTCACACCTAGATTCTCGGCCCTGTACTGTTTCTAGGTACAAGTGCATGGAAATACAGTTTCAGAGCTGCCAGAGCTCAGCTGCCCCTGCCCCTCCCACCCCTCTCCTTTCCTTGTTGAGACCCAGCCTAGGCCCCACCACTGCCAAATGCGACGACAGTACTCACCAGTCCCGTGTGGCTCACATCCTGGGAATCTTTTTACTCCAAGAGCAGTCGGTGCATCCAGACCTACAGAGGACAGAAACTCAGTATCAGAAGCAGGGCAGAGCAATTGGGTGTCCATCTCTATTCCAGTAGGACGGAGTCAATGGGGGACTGGGATGGAGGTGGGGAAGATGAATGAAAAGGAAATGGTGAGGACTGAGCCGCTCATTAAACCAACCTCAAAATCTCTGGGCTTTGTGGTGATTCTGAGAAAGAAAAAAAAAAAAAAAGAAAAAAAAAAAAAGACCCTAGCCCTGGATGAGTCAGCAGCTTGTGGAGAAGCAGGCTTTCCAGAAGAGCGAAATTACAGGCAAAATCAGCGGGGGTAGGGGTGCAGGAGGCCTCTCTTTAACCTCACTCAGAGTCTCCTGGAGTCTTCCTGGCAGCGGTCCTTTGTGGTTGCATTTTGGTGAGGGCGAAGGGGGAAAGCTCTGTGCTCAGGCCTCAAGTCGAAAAGAGACCGCACTGCTTAAAACAAAAGCCCCCAAAGCGTATTTATATCCTGGGAGACTCCTGCCAAGCGAACCCCGTGTGCTTTGAAAATTCCTCGGGAAGAGCTGTAGCTGGAAGAAAAAGGCCTGTGCCCGGCTCTGAGGATATGTTCACAGCATGGCAAGTTGGGGCTTGAGCCCTAGAGGTTTAACCAGGCAGGGCAGAGGCCACCTGTGGCACACATGTGCATGGAGCAGCCACGGAGGGCACAGCATTCTCACTCCCCATACCCAGCCTGCCTTGAAAGCCAAACTTGTTTTTTCTTGTTTCCTTAAGAATTCTGCGGTGAGCAGAGCTTTCTCTTTTCATCCATTCCTGTGTTCAAAGGAGAACCTTTTGGCTGGGGGAAAGAAAACCTTCAGGTGGCAGATTTTATTGACTGAGTACTTACCACGTGCCGGGCGCCTCACACACCTCAGCTGGGGTCTTGCTATTCGGGGTGCAATCGCACCAGCTGGGTGCTTGCTGAATAGCTAGAGTCCCCAGCCCCACCAAGCCCTACGGTATGGGAGCAGCCTGCTTTTTAACAAGACCTCCAGGTGACTCCTGGGCGGGTTAAAGTCTGCAAAGCACTGGCGTCTCATCCTCTTAATCAAGGATGGAAGGATGTTGCAGCCCATTTTCCACATGGGGAAACCGGGTCCAAAAGTGACAAGTTGGCCAACGTGGATGTGGAGCTGGTGAATGGTTGGGCTGACCCAAAGCCATGTTCATGTGGTTCCAAAGCCTGTATCCCTTTCCTATCATTTGGGGGAAGGAGCAGACAGACCTGGCTTTGTGGGAGTGGCTGAGGGAGGGGTTCCAGCCACGGGTGGTGGGTGACTAGAGAGTCTTGGAGGTGAGTGATGGCTCCAGGTATCAGGCAGAGCACTCAGGGAGGGAGGCACTGAATACTGGCCACAGGCTTCCCCTCCTCTTCAGTTTTGTCAAGAACCAGCAAAATTCCCCAGTTAAAAATTCTGGACCTCCTTCCTGCAGGGGAATTTGAGCTTCTGCAGTTTATCTCAGTGATTAATTTATTTTGATTCCAAGAAGTTGTGTGCTCTTGCCCACTGCCCTTTAGAACTAACCATCCAGCGGGAGGAGGCACCCCAGGAGAGAAGCTAACCTGAGCATTCCAGGCACTGACCTGTGAGAAGAAGAACATTCTCCAAAGCCCTTCGTAGCTTAGAAACAGCTTTTTATCCACGAGCTAATCGGCTCCTTACTTTTAAGGGGCATGTCACTAGCCCTATTTTGCAGTTGGGAAAACAGAGAGGTTAACTGACTTTCCTGAGGTCACACAGTTATTAGACAGGCTGGGATGACTATCCTCCAACTCTAAGCGCAAGATACAATCAGTGTAGTCCAGCTGCTCCTGATGAGGAGGGGGACATCACAGCACAGATTTATGATAGCGTCTCCCAACTCCATATGCTCTTGCTCCACACTCTGCTTGTAAGGTGAGTGTACTAAACAGACTCTCAGACCAAGAGGAAAACAGTCCACAACTCATGCAGGGTGCATGGCCAGTACTTTTCTCAATGTAAATTAGACAGCTGGCATTCTTACCAATGAGCATATGTTACATTAGACGTCATTCGTTCTACTGCACTCACTTCCGTAAGATAGTTCAGCTAAGTTAAGGTATACAGTGGAATGATGTCCATAAAATGTGGAAGTAGTATTGGCTCTCAGGCAAATGTTTCCAGCACATTAATGTTTTGGCATCACCAAGTAACAGCAGCTGGATGCAAAGATCCCAGACACAGCTGAGTGTAGTAAGTCATAGATGACTCCATGCTCTTCCTCTTGGCTCAGCATGGCCATGTGCTCTCTTAGAAGAGTTTGGTGCTCACTTCTCCCTGATATTTGTGCAAAGGCCATGTTAGGCCACTCCTCTCTGCTACATTTTAGCAAAGTCCGCAACTGCTGTTGTACCTGTAACTTCCGATGAAGATCTGTCCGCTCCTGCCTCCATAACTCTGCAGCCTCAAACCTTCTCTAGCTACTTGCCTTTGGGTTCCCCCTTTTTGTTTGTAAAATATATCCCTATGGTTATGCAGGTCCTCAAGTTACTAATATATTTTTAATTCAAAATTTAGCATACCATTTTAACTATGCTATAATCATCACTAGGACTGTGGTTTGTTACAGAGTTGCATGAATTGTGAGTCGTGTGCTGCAACCTTATTGTCTCCCAAATCTCTGCGATTTTTGAATTTTTCAGATGCCAGGATTTTGAAATGCATATATCATTTAGTAGCAGAAATGCTTGCATAATGGAAGTTGCATTATAGGTACTGATATGGTTAAGCTTTCTGTCCCTACCCAAATCTCATCTTGAATTGTAATCTCCACAATCACCACGTGCCAAGGGAGAGACCCGGTGGTGGTAATTGAATCATGGGCGTGGTTTTCCCCATGCTGTTCTCATGATAGTGAGTTCTCATGAGATCTGATGGTTTTATAAGTAGCTCTTCCCCCTTCGCTCACAATTCTCCTTCCTGCTGCCTAGTGAAGAAGGTACCTTGCTTCCCCTTCCACCATAATGGTAAATTTCCTGAGGCCTCCCCAGCCATGCTGAACTGTGAGTCAATTAAACCTTTTTCCTTTATAAATTACCCAGTCTCAGGCAGTTCTTTACAACACTGTGAAAACAGACTGATACAGGTACAAATGTCAATACAGAACTTACATGTATTATATATATATATAGTTATTAAACACTGAACATGTTACTATTAAATATTGAGTTTATTAAATATCTAATTGACAATCATTCATTGGGTACCCATGTATATCTGATTCTTTGCTAAGTACCAGATAGACATAAATAAAACCTGGCCCCTACCCTTAAGAAATTCATGGCATAAAAAGGAGAAAGACAAATAATAGACTGAGTGGGAGAAAGTACAATGTATAAAGAGGGGGTCCAAGACAGGGGCAGCTAACAGACTCCTCACCTGCGTCAGGGCAAAGGTCACGCTCCCCATCCCATGGCCTCTGCAGCCCTGTGAGGCTGTTGCCTGCTCACCTCTCCCCATCCCCCTCCCCACACCGTGTTCCTAGTTCACTGGCTGCTTCTTTCTTGAACCCATCATGCTCCACAGCCACACAGCTAGTCATGCTAGCTCCTCTCTCACATGATCTGCCCTCACTCTTCCCCTAATTAACACCACCTTCTCCTGCAGGATTGAGGGAGGTGATACATATAAAGTGCTTAGAGTAGCGTGAGCAGGTGTTAGCTGTTCTTGTTATTGACAATACCTGTTATTATCCTCAACTGACTAGGCAGCAACCGGAGTCCACAGGGGCAGCGCGACTTGGCGGGGCTGCACAGTGACTTATTCTCAGAGCTAGGGAGTCTCACTGAATCAGTTTTGTTTTCTCCATTTCTCCTTGAGTCCAATGCCGCACCATCACCAGGCTAGACCCCACTAGATCCTAAGGAGCATGGTGGAAAGAGCATTGGTCTTGGAGACAGCAGGGCTGAGTCTGGTCCCACTTCTCACACACATGTGTTCTGTGTCCTTATGCCAATCACTTTCCTTCCCGGACCTTGGTTTCCTCCTCAGCCAGGCAGGGCTCTAACCGGAGCTGCCTCCTTGGGTTGTGGAGGGGAATCCAAGGCCACAGGGCATGCCGAGTGGAGCCTACTGTTCCTGCACAAGGAGAGCAGCAGAGTTAACCTGAATTATAGGGCTTTTAGTGCCCTCTGAGCTCCAAATGCATACACATTTCCAACCTTCCTGGCTCAGGACTCCTTTTGCCAGAAATTACTGGTCAGTTGGAGAAAATCACAATAAGGAAAAATTAGCCAGTGGCATTTTCCTCTTGAGTCCCCACATACTCCCTTTTGGCCTAGTTTAAACCTGTCGGATTGCCAGGAGAATCAGGGAAGCGACTGTAATGGCCTGTAGAAGAGAAGTGCCCTCCCCGAGGGTCACTCCCTCTTAAGAAGTTGATCCCATTCCACTTCTCATTCAGCAAACATTTAGCAGATGAGTAAGAAGCTCCAGGTCTAGTAAAAACACAATGATGTCCTAAGGTGATAGCCTCAAACTGAGGGAAAGGTGTGAGTGCAGCCAGGGAGCATGTGGGAGGGAGAAACTGGCTCTGGCTGGAGCCAGCCCAGCCCAGAGATAAGAGCAAGGTCAAGCCCAAAAACGGTAGAAAGCTCCAAGTGACTTCCATGGAGTCTGAGCTCAGCGCTCACTCTGCAAGCCGGAAGTGCAGTCTCCAGTGACCTTTGTTCCAGGCAGTATTTCACTTTGGTCCCTAACAATAGCCTTTAATTCAGAAGGGCAGAAAATGCTGTTCATGTGGGGAAAACAAACAAACAAACAAACAAACAAAAACAACAAAAACAAACCACAGTGGTCATTTGCGAATCTGCAAAATCGCTCACGTGATGGCCACCATGTCCGGCGCACATACTCTGTGCTGGGAAGCTCTGGGCTGGCTCCCGAGCCTGATCTTCCTTTTCCATCACAGCGGCAACTGCAGGCATTTACATACCCATTCTATAGATGGTAAGCCTGAACCTGCGA